ACCGATTCTGTTCATAACTTTTATGGACAGAATTTCTAGGCGCAGCCAAGGTGTTGAGGGAATCCGTTTTGGTGGCCTTAGGATTGCGTCTCTGCTTTTTGCAGATGATGTGGTCTTATTGGCTTCATCAGATCGTGATCTACAGCTTTCGCTGGAGCGGTTTACAGCCAAATGCGATGCGGCCGGGATGAAGATCAGTTCCTCCAAATCCGAGGCCATGGTCTTTAGCCGGAAAAGGGTAGAGTGCCCTCTCCGGGTCAGGGAGGAGGTCCTACCCCAAGTGGAGGAGTTCAAGGCTTCAGTCCCTGAAACCTCTGCCTGTATTAGTATGCAGGAGCTGCTCAGTAGGTATGATGTGACCTGCTCTAAGATCTTAGACCTCGTGGCCCCGCTAAAAATCAGGCGACCAAAGTGGGCACCACACCCCTGGTTGAACGCGACCACTCGAGCGGCCAAACATCTATGCAGGAGAGCTGAACGCAAGTGGAAGAAGGACAAATTGCAGGTTTCTTTTATTATGTTAAAAACGTGTTTGAAAGATTATCAGAGCATCGTTAAATCTGAAAAGAACAAATACTTCTCCCAAATCATTGCTTCAAACAGTCATAATCCCCACGTTATTTTTAATACTGTAAATTCCATTTTAAACGTGCCTCGGTCTGCCAGCATGGAGGCCTGCATTGTCATGTGCAATTACTTTACCAGATACTTTGCTGATAAGGTACAGTTGATTAGGTTATCCATCCCCCAGTCCACAACTGATCCCTCTGTCTTTGTCCCTTGCTCAGCTGTCTTCAAACAGTTTGAACCCATTTCACTCCCATTTCTGAACAAAGTTGTTGGTCAGATGAAACCCTCCGGTTCCCCCGCTGACCCCATTCCTGCGTAGTTTTTCAAACAAGTTCTACCCACGATTGGACCCTCTGTTCTTACTATTATAAATAGTAGTATTGTGACAAGTGTGGTTCCCGATGTTTTCAAACATGCAGTAGTTCATCCGTTAATTAAGAAACCTGTACTTGACCCTTCGACTTGCTCAAATTTCAGACCAATCTCAAAAACTTCCCTTCCTGTCCAAAATCTTGGAGAAAATAGTTTTCATTCAATTAAACAAGTTTTTGAATGAGAACAGAATCTTTGAAATTTTATAATCTGGTTTTAAGCAACTCCACAGCACTGAAACAGCATTAGTAAGGGTTTGTAACGACATTATGATCTCAAATGATTCTGGTCAATTTGTGGTACTTGTGCTCCTGGACCTTACTGCTGCTTATGATACTGTTGACCACAGTATCCTTATATCACGGCTGGAACAGTGGGTTGGGATCACAGGTGCTGCATTAGAATGGTTCCGCTCATACCTGAGTGGCAGGAGTTTCTGTGTCAAGGTTGGTAACAATGTATCCGCCTCATTACTACCCTTTTCTTGTTGGGTCCCACAGGGTTTGATTCTTGGACCCCTTCTGTTCTCACTTTATTTGCTCCCACTGGGGTCCATCCTGAGGAAACATGGTCTTTCATTCCATTGCTATGCTGATGACTATCAGATCTACCTGCCTGTGAAACCAGCAAGTGTTTGCTCCATTCACCCTCTGTTAAAATGTCTGGACGACATTAAAGCCTGGATGGCTTCAAATTTCTTAAGTTTTAACAATGACAAAAATGAAGTCATTGTTTTTAGCCCTAGCTCAACTGCCACCACTGATCCTGTCAACCTGGACTCTCTTCAGCCATATCTGAAGCAGTCTGGTAAAAATCTCAGGATGGTTTTAGACTCTGACTTCCAAGTTTGACAAACAAATCAACTCTGCTCTGCAGAAAAGCTTCTTCCAACTAAGACAGGTAGCTAAGCTCAAGCCAGTGTTGTCCAGGCCCGACCTTGAGAAACTAGTCCATGCCTTTGTCACGACCCGATTGGACTACTGCAACGCACTGTATGCTGGGATCAGCCAGGCCTCCATCTCATGTCTTCAGCTCGTCCAGAATGCTGCAGCTCGGCTTTTAACCGCAACTCGTAGGTCTGAACATATTACACTAGTTCTGTCCTCCCTTCACTGGCTCCCTGTTCGTACGAGGATAGTCTTTAAAATTCTTCTGTTGACCTTCAAATGCCTAAATGGCCTCGCACCCCTTTACCTCTCTGAGCTTCTGGAACCGTACGTTCCCTCTCGGGCCCTGAGATCATTCGATCAGCTGCTTTTGGCTGTTCCAAAAACAAGACTGAAGCTCAGAGGAGATAGGGCGTTTTCAGTCATGGGCCCCAAACTCTGGAACAACCTGCCCCCCAACATCAGGCAGGCCACCTCACTTCAAATCCCTGCTTAACACACATCTGTTTTCTCAGGCATTTCATACAGTGTAAATTGACCTAGTGTTTTTTAATCTGTGACCCTATCTTTTAAATGCTTTTTATTAATTCTTCAGTTATTATTATTATTAGTGTATTGTGTATATATATATATATATATGTTTATATATTTTTCTCTTTAATTTACTCATTGATTGTTGTTGTTGTTAAGCACTTTGATAACAGGTTCTTTTTTAAATGTGCTCTATAAATAAAGTTGACTTGACTATCATAAATCCAAATATATAAACATATTCAGGGTTCTCCTAAGACAAGACTGAGAGGTACATCAGCTGCCAAACTCCCCACGGATCCATGACGTACCCCACAGTGTGAGTCTCAGCTGGACAAGCGGGTTCTCCAGGACCCTGTCGTTTTGTTGAAATGATTTTGTTGACTGCGTTGAAAGTCCATGTCACCAGATTCATAATCTTAATTTTTGTTCGGGAGGTGTGTACCAGGCGCTTCAGACACACAGAGAGCGAAACAGGAGGAAGGAGAACAGTGGAGGGAGGGCAGAAGCAGCCATCTTGTAAAAAACACCTTGTATCTGTGACTTTCCTTCCCTCCATTGATTACGGTGACATTATTTACATGAACGCTCCTACAAGAACCCTGCAGATGTTGGATGCTGTCTATCATGGTGCACTAAGATTCATAACTGGCTGTAACTACCGTACCCACCACTGCACCCAGTATTCACTGGTTAATTGGTCACCATTAACTTCACGCAGACTCTCTCACTGGTACATTTTCATCTTTAAATCACTTCTTGGTCTGCTGCCTTCATACATCTCCTCCTACATGTCTCTGTGTGAGTGCAGATACGGCGTGCGCTCTCAGGACATTATTACCTGCAAAGTTCCCTCAATGAGGACTGAACTAGGCAAAAGGGCCTTCTCCTACTCTGCTCCTGTTTCCTGGAATATCTTACAAAAAGATTTGAAGCTCTCGACATTGACCTCTCTAAGTGGCTTTAAGATTCTGTTGGACTCCTGGCAGGGACCAATGCAGACATGTTCCCGTTTTTAGTTTCTACATTCGCTTTAGAATCTAGCTGGTTATTTTTTTGTTACCTTTTCCTTTTAGCCATCCTATTTGTTAAAAAAAAAAAAAAAAAAAAAAAAAACCCTGCAGTTTGACTTTTTATAATTGTTTATTGTTGTTGCTGTTGTCCATTGTTGTCATCTTTCTTTGTTGAAATCAGGTCTCTCTTGTAAATGAGTCCTCGAGGCTCAATGGGATTTATCTGTCTAAATAAAGGTTGAATGAAAAATCTTGAGTGAGAGCCAGACAGAAAAGATGGGCGGAGGAGCCACCGCCGCGGGACCTCACTGTGGCGGCTCCTCCGGCACCCCTCCGGAGGCGGCATGGGTTGCGACGGCGGGGCCAGAAAATCCTTAGTTCCGAACGTGGCTGCCAGTCGGAAGCGTCTCCGGCGGCCCCTCCACCTCCACTCAACGCACAGCGCGCATGGACCATCCTGGGGGCATGGGGGGGTGGGCCCGGGCGCGACAGGAGGGAGGTCTGGCAGGGGCCAACACAGCGCTTGGCGAACCTCGGCACGTGCTTGAACCTCGGAACCGAAACCCAGCAGTGCGGCAGTCCTGTTCAGCCGTCCGCAGTGATTCCTGGGTACCCGTCTCTGCCGCGATCTGCCCGGGCCGCGGCGGTGGGTTTGAAGCCTCCAGCCACCCAGTGCAAATGGAGCGCCCAGGAGGTGTGCGGTGGAAGTGAAACCCCTTTGTCCAGAAGCCCCAGCCTCAATGTCGAAAAGCGGACGACTCTCAGCAATGGATCATTCGGCTTATGTGCTAATGGACGCAGCTAGCTGCGAGAACTAATGTGAATTGCAGGACTCATTGACCATCGACATTTCAAACGCACCTTGCAGCCCCGGGTTCCTCCCGGGGCCACGTGTCTGAAGGTCGCTCAGTCATCAATTGGAGACCTCGCGTCTCCGTGGTTGGAGCGTTGTAGGCGGCTCTGCTCACCTTCGTCCCCCTAAGTGCAGACTTGTCGGCCTGGCATGCATCGCACTCAGGCATGTCCCTGGACCATACCTCCGGCATCCGTACGGCCCTTCCACACCTCCTTCCCTCCCCGTGCTGCACTGATTGTAACTATTTTCACATTATTCAACAACCAAAACAGATTTTGTTTTTTAATGTAATGGCTAGGTATTTAAAAAAAACCATTTAGCCCTCCCCACTACCCATTTATGTTGCTCTTATTTTGAAATGTAACCGAAAGTTCTGTGTTAAGAGAGGCGGAAAGAGAAGTTATAGAGATGCCGCTAATGTCGAACCGGAGAAACTGCTAATGTCGAACCGGTTAACACCATAAACATAATATGTCTGTGGTTAACACAAACACCTTTTTGTTTGGTCCTATCAAATGTGGCTCTCCAGATATGCCTTTTGTCTTATCGTCCAATCATATGTGGCTCTCTAGATACACCTTGTTTTTTATTGTCCAATCAGATGTGGCCCTCCAGATACGCCTTCCATATTTTTCTGCAGAAATACCTAATTGGTTTCAATGGAGTTTTGGGTGGGTAATGGGAGAAGCAGCAAAACGTGTGGAAGTCTACAACTCTGTGTGTGATCAGAAAAACTAAGTAGCAACAATAAAGCTTGGAGCTTTTTTGTACCCGTCCTCTCCTGCTGTATAAACACTCCTGTGGCGTTTGCTGTAGAGGGCCGGGTCCAAGCTGCAAACAGGAAGTAGTTCTGGATACAGGAAGACGGATCGTGTGGCAAACAGCCAGGCAGTGTCAGCAGGCAGTAATGGGAAAGCGTGGCCTAAATACAACCAGAACCAAGTCACACACAAAGATTAACAATGGTCATTTTACATGACAGACTTCAGTACTCCAGCAATTAATGTACACTGTCCCTCTGAAAACACATTAGAGGAAAAGGTTACTCCTTACTGCTGGTAGAAGGAGTCATCATGGGTAGCAAGCGTCTGGAAGCTGCAGGAACACAAACGGAATGTTGAGGCTTCCCTCTCTGTTCCAATTCCTGCAGGAGATCTAGCGCCCCCTGCAGGTTGCACACGTTGAAGCTGCTGTGGAAGTGAACCTTCTCTTTGGAACAGGCAAACTGCTGTAGCTCCTCCTGGATAAGAAAGAGAAAGTTGTTTGTTTTGTTAGCAGGCAGAGTTCTCAGACCTGATTTCTGTAGGTGGTTGGATCGGAGGCTTGCTCATTCATTCAGTCATTTCTTTCTGTGTTTTTTTTTAAATTTTTTAATCAGGTTCAGAAAATCAGAAGACTTGTGGAAAAACAAAAACAAGGAACTCTGTGTCCTTTGCCCAGACGTTGGTTACCGGGGCCCCACCCTGGAGCCAGGCCTGGGAGAAGGGCTCATCAGCGTGTGCCTGGTGACAGGGACTCCACTCATGTGGCCCGGTCGGGCTCAGCCCAAAAGAGTAACATGGCTTTGCCTCCTTGTGGGCCCACCACCTACAGGAGGGGCCATATAAGTCGGGTGCAAGATGCGATGGGAAGTGGCTGAAGGCGGGGACCTCGGTGCTCTGACCCTGGGTTACCAAATGACCCTTTTCCACTGTCACAGTGCGGATTAGGTCAGTTCGGGTCGGTTCAGATCGGCTCGGGTCTGTTGTGTTTCCATATACATTTCTGGACCGGCTCTGTAGGCGGGGACTAGAATCCAACTCGTCTTACCACGTGGTGGCGGTAGTACTCCCTTAAGCTACTTACTAGCCACCACTAAGCATATTAGAAGAAGAACACCCTGAAGACTTTGTCACACGATGTTGTGGAAGAGATGTCATGCTCTAATGGAGTACCTCATGAGCTGTAACTTTTAAACCTGATTCATAATTCTACCTTACTGCCTTCCTGCCTGCTTTAAACCCATGTGTTTTTCATTTTAGTTTAGATTTTTATAATAAAGATGTATTAAAAATTCTTCACTTTTATTATTTACAGATATGCACAAGGTTCATGTTAAAATTACAAAACATCACACTGTCCTGTAATCTTTGAAACTGCTTTTACAATAAGCTACAGACTTGAAAACAATTAGATTAAATTTTGTCCTTAAATTTTAAAATTTGTCTTTCATTAAATTTAAAAACATAAATTTGTTACATATTAATCTAAAAAAGTTAAGTCTGGTCCTCTGGACATTCAAAAAACAAAACAAACAAACAAAAAACATTTATTGTTTATTTATTATAAACTGTATTGTTTGTTTTGTGAATGTCCAGAGGACCAGACTCAACTTTTTAGATTTTTCTACCTGGATTATTGAGCAGCATCAGGATGTTACTTAATAAATAGTCAGTTGGTTTGTGAACACCATGGGGTCCTAGAAGAGTTGAAGAGGTGGCTGTTGATGTCTGTGCCTCCCTGGTGAAGATGCTGCTCCCACGACCCGGAAGCAGGAGAGGATGGATGGACGGACGGACGGACGGATGGATGGATGATGGATGGATGATGGATGGATGGCGAAGGAGGAGACCATCAAACACAGCAGGAGGGGTCAGTTCAGGTGAACTCCTGCCTGTTTGCTTCAGATCAGCTGTTCAAATCTCTGCAGGTCCAAATAAAAGGTGCACCAGGACTTTCAGCTGAATCTCTCGGGTGCCACAGTTGTACGACCGATAACTGATAACTGATCAATGATAACTGATAACTGTCCTTTCTGAATTTTTGACTGTTTTTGTCTCACTTCATCCTAGAACAAAACATTTATAACATAATAACAGCTGAGCAGATTCTGGTAATTTTTTCTTAGGATCCATTAAAGATCAAATGCAATTGGAAATTCTTCTCAACTTCCAGTATGAATTTAAACAAACACTTTATGAACTTGTTGGCAGCTCAGAACACCACATACATAACACCAAGTCAAGTCAAGTCATCTTTATTTGTAGAGCACAATTTAAAACAGATAAACTGTTATCAAAGTGCTTATCCACACTTATCCCTCACCTTATCCACAAAGTCCACCATGGACTTTGTGGATAAGGTGAGGGATGTCATCATGGAGACTGATGAAACAATGGTCTCTTTTGATGTCACATCACTCTTTACGTGCATTCCTGTTGATGATGCAGTAGAGGTGGTCAGTTTAAGATTAAAATCAGACACCACTCTGAGCAGCAGGACCACGCTTTCCACAGAACAACTGTGTCAACTCTTGAAACTGCGCCTGCAGTCAACCTACTTCACATATGGGGAGCAATATTATAGGCAGAAACATGGGTGTGCTATGGGGTCTCCAGCTTCTCCTATTGTTGCCAACCTGTACATGGAGGAGGTAGAAAAGAGAGCCTTGACGTCCTTTTCAGGGACACCACCAAGTCATTGGTTCAGGTATGTTGACAACACCTGGGTTAAAATTAAATCTCAGGAAGTCCAACATTTTACTGACCACATCAACTCTGTGGATAAATACATCAAGTTCACACGAGAAGATGTAAAAAATGGCAGGTTGGCTTTCTTGGACTGTGAGGTCTCAGTCTCGGATAGAGGACATTTGCAAACCGAGGTGTACCGCAAACCCACCCACACAGACCAGTACTTGCAGTTTGACTCCCATCACCCTTTGGAGCACAAGTTAGGAGTCATCAGGACTCTGTACCACAGAGCAGACAGCATCCCCACTAGCTCAGGAGCCAGGCAGAAGGAGAAATCCTACACAAAACAGGCTCTAGAGCAATGTGGATATCCTAACTGGGCCTTCCTGAAAACAGAGAAGAAACCCAAACAGGACTCCAGTCAGCCATCAGGTGAAAAGGAGGAACCCAGACCAGTGGTCATTCCGTATGTTGAGGGGGTATCAGAGAAACTGAGACGTTTATTTTCTAAACATAACGTCCCAGTGGCTTTTAAACCCCAAAATATATTACGGCAAAGACTGGTTCATCCCAAAGATCCAGTTCCCCGGCACAAACAAAGTTATGTTGTGTATGCTGTTCAGTGTCAGGAGGGTGATCAGTCTTACATCGGGGAAACTAAACAGCCACTGGCCAAAAGGATGGCCCAGCACAGAAGATCAACATCATCAGGCCAGGACTCTGCGGTCTACACTCATCTCCAGGCCAGAGGTCACTCTTTCAGGGATGAAGATGTTCACATCCTGGACAGAGAGGAACGATGGTTTGAGAGAGGAGTAAAGGAGGCCATCTTTGTGAAAAGAAATCGTCCATCATTAAACAGGGGTGGAGCCTCCGGGTTCAACTGTCCCCCTCTTACAATGCTGTGATTGCTAGTATCACTCAGCCCTCTGTGAACAGTAAACAGCCATCAGTGTGCTAATGATCCATTGTTAGGCTGATGGTCCTTCTTGAGCATGTGATCAGCTGGTTCTGGTTGTCAGCAGCAAACTGGTTGATCCACTCTGAGAAGGTGCCATTTAAGAGACTGAGCTGAAAACAGCACCTCAGACTGAGGAAGTTTCTTGGATGAGAGACGAAACGTTTCTAGATTTTTTTTGCTTTGTTTTGTTTTTGTTTTTTTGAATGTCCAGAGGACCAGATTGAACTTTTTTGGATTTTTCTACCTGGATTATTGAGCATACATCAGGATACTATATGAACTTAACATTGTAAAATTTGTTTAGGAAATGTAATGTTCAAGGACACCACTTAAGAAAAAAATTGTTTAATAGGAAAAGTAAGAAGTGAAAAATGTAGAAAAATAAAAATCACTGCGTCCAACTAATGATTGTGTATCTGTGTGTCCCTTGTCTCACGGGCTTCATCCAGAAGAAGACACAAGTGTTGTTCCTGCTGTGTCCGCTTCAGTTCTTCATGTTCATTCAGTGATGAAATAAGACTTTTCTTTTCTGGACTCTTTTCTCTTTCTCTTCACTAGAGAGAAGAAACAGGTGGTTAATTCAAGCTACATACTGTTTTTGAATAAATGCATCAAACAAAGAAAGGTGCAGCTAACAGCTATAATAGATATATTAATAATAAGAAACTGATCAAATAAGAAAATGAAAAATAAATTGATTTAAAAATAATCAAAATAATATAATGATAACAATGGAAATATGAATCAGAAAGTATTATACAGATGCAGATATTCTTTATTGTTATATGCACCTCATGTGGTGGATCAAAATTATGTTCACAGGGTCCCAGTTCCATCCAACAATAAAATATAAAATAAAAACAGTAATAACATCTAAGATATGAACTAAGAAAAACATCAACTAAAAATATGATAAGCACTAATAGCATAAAAACATTAAACACAATACGCCGAACAGCAGCACGGACATGAGTCTGTGTGAACAGATGAGCACGAATGAACACAGCAACATGAAACAGATCAGCAGCAACATGAAACAGATCAGCAGCAACATTAAACATATCAGTAGCATGAAACAGATCAGCAGCAACATGAAACAGATCAGCAGCAACATGAAACATATCAGTAGCAACATGAAACTGATCAGCAGCAACATGAAACAAATCAGCAGCTACATGATGTGATTCTTCACAGTGTTAGATATTCATGAGGCTGCACAAACTCTAGTTCATGTTGCTGTTTGACGTATTGTTTTAATTGTTTACTGCTATTAGTGCTTAGTGTTTTATTAGTAGATGTTTTTTAGTTGATATTTTTCTTAATTCATATCTTAGATCTTGTTACTGTTTTTCTTTTACATTTTGTTGTCTGTAACTGGGACCCTGTGTACAAAGTACATAATTTCATCCCAATTCAGTATTTATTCAACATTTTATTATTATTTTTTTTAAATAAAATAAATCAAGTTCTTATTGGCACGAATAAAGTGATGTGGAACATGTTGCATCTGTTCTTACCGAGCACAGAAGCTGCAGCGTTGTGCTGCTCTGTGAGGTGCAGCTGGGCTGTGATGGAGCTCTGTCAGGTGTAGACTCCTCTGATGGAGCAGGAGAAGAAGCCAGGAGTCTTGGAGGGTTTAATGTGGAGTTTAGAGACGAACCGTCACGCGCTGAAATACGTTCTGGATAAAATACAGTGAGAAACGGGACCCGAGGACAGTTAGCGTTTATGCAAATTAGCTTAGCATCGTAGCACCTACGTTGTCCTATTATGGCGTCAGCCTCTTTTGTTAGTTAAAAATATGTTTAGAACCGATGGGATGAGTAA